AAGGGAAATTAGCTTCATGGATGATATTGAAGTGGGATCCTATAACAGTATAGACAAGCAAATTATTACCAAGATACCCTGGATCTCTAAAGCAGTGGGAGTTGATTACATCACTCAGATGCGTAATTTATTCGAGTACCATGAGCAACATGTCCGCTGGATCTTCCAATACTTACCAAAGAATGACACTAACGATAACAGTAAGTCAGATCCACTCATCTCCCCCTCCCTCTTTTCATCCTACCTTGTCTATTTCTCTTCCAAGTCCAATAGATCCACCCCCAGTAGATCATACACTGAAATGGATGTCCTTGGTCCTAGTACATTGTTATTTACTAACCTTGAGAAAGAGCATCAAAGAATCCATCCCTGAACCTTAAACTTCATCCACTTGGTTCAAAATCCTGGGTCACCATCTCCTTCTATAATTCTTCTAAGACACCACCGCCTTCAGCCCAAGAACTTTCACTATGTTCCAAACTTTCTTAATCAATTAACCTGTACTCAGAGGATGAGGTCCCTATGCCCTCATTATGCCCACAGTTTAGGGATGGGCTGCAGTTGATCCTAGTTACTGATCTCTCTCTCTTCATCAGTCCCAGAAGAGGCCATCCCAATGTCCCTCCACAGGAAACCACACAGGGCAGCTCCTTGCAGACTGTGAAATAGACAACGACATCAAGGTGAAGAGCCATGTCCATTTAATTTGGGATGGAGAGGAATATTACAGGATAGATGAAGAAGCTGGGCACTGGGAGAACTTAAAGCCTGAATTCAAGAAATATGAGTTCATTCTAGTCAGCCCCTTCTGGACTGATCTAAGGAAACGCTACATGAATCAATATTGTGTTGACCTGCTGAGGAAAATCGTTGGCTACTCAAGCTTAAGGGATAATGGTGAGTGTTTGCTGCTTCCCATCTCCTCCCAGGAGGTCCAGGTCACCCCTATCATTCTGTGTAATAACTGGAGTCCTAGAGAAACAGGCAGGATCCATAGCTTCTAACCATTGCTTATATCCAATCTATAATGGGAGAATCAGAGAATGTGAGAAAGGTTGAAATTCTTTCTTTTTTCCTTCTTTATTCTTCCTCTTTTTTCTCATTTCTTTTTCTTTTTCCCTTGCCATCCTTCCTTCCTTCTTTCATACTTATATTCTTTTCCTTCTTTCTTTCAGTCCTTCTTTCCCTTTCTTTTCTTCTACTGTTTCTTGTTTCTTTCCTTCTTTCACTTCTCTCTTTCATTTTTCTTCCCTCCTTCCTACTTTTCCTCCTTTCTTTTTTCTCTTTCCTTCCTTATTTTTTTCTGTCTTTCCTTCCATCTTTCTTTATTCCTTTTGTTTAAGCTAATCTCCTCTTGCCTACCTCACCAAGGCATGAGAGTGACCCTAAGAACTCAAAGGCTATGAAAGCTAAAAAAAAAATACTCTGTTGTGTCCTACCAAGCCAGAAAAGTTTATGTACAGCCTCAGGAATGATAGATTTTGTGTCTGCTGTCTAGTGAGCCATCTAGCCATATGTAGAACATCATCACCAGGAGGTTGGCCACCATGTAATGCTTAATTTTTATTTTGTTGGGGTTTGGGAGGGCGGTGAAAATAACACAGGAAGGATAACCTAGCAAGCATAGACTGTCTTCAGTCTTCACCATTAGAAACACCCACATTTATGAAATTATGGATCATATGAAATATTGGCTTGTTGAAGAAGATTCTGTTCTTAATCCATTATAGCAGTCCAAATGACTTGAAGAGGGTTTATAAAGTTGCTGGTGATGTGGTCATCAACACCAACAGAGGCTGACTCTATAACTCATGTTTACCTAGCACTCTTCTAGGGGTCCAAGGAAATACAAATGGGTATAAGCTATCATGCTACTCTCAAGGGCCTGATGAGTCCAGTGAGTCCGACAGGTTAAGAAGTGCAGCATAAAGGAGACTGGGGACATCAGTAAAGGTAGAGACAATGGAAGCATCAAACACTCACAGAGATTGTGACATGAGGCCTTCTTTCTTGATCTCTGCTCCCAGTGCCCCCTGAGGTGACCGTATCTCTCCATGTCAACCGAGAAGGCAGCACCGTTCTCTCCTGCACAGCCACAGGCTTCTACCCTCGCTCCATCCTACTGCGTTGGGAAAAAGATGGGAAGCTTGGTGTATGGGGAAAGGAGACTTCCAGCGGTACCCTGCCCAATGCAGATTCCACCTTCTACCTCCAAATTACCTTAGAGCTCCCACCAGAGGACTCAGTGATGGGTTATACTTGTGTGGTAGAACACATTGAGCTGAAGACCCCTGCTGTGTATCCAGGTTAGTGCTTCATCCAGGTATTGTCATCACATCCCCAATGGACCAGGTCCCAGAGTGGAGTTCCATTGCCTTCCCTCTTCTTTCACTGAATGTACCCACATTTACGTTCTACCCTTTCTCCCTTTAGTGCCTGAAAAGCCCACAAGGGAGAAGCCTTGGGTCCTGGCACTGGGTGTTATGTTGGCTGTCATTCTACTGCTGAGCTGTGCTGGGGCCTTCATAGCATGGAAGAAGAAGAAGTCAGGTATGCATGTAATGAAAGAGAGGTAACAGAAAGGT